TAATAAATGTACACAATGTACACATTGTAACAACACACAATAATTTATGTTCATAATAAATGTACACAATGTACACATTGTGACAACTCACAATAGTTTATGATCATAATAAATGTACACAATGTACACATTGTAACAACACACAATAATTTATGTTCATAATAACTGTACACAAAGTACACACTATGACAACTCACAATAGTTTATGTTCATAATAACTGTACACAATGTACACATTGTAACAACTCACAATATTTTATGTTCACAATAACTGTACACAATATACACGTTGTAACAACTCACAATAGTTTATGTTCACAATAACTGTACACAATGTACACATTGTAACAACTCACAATAGTTTACGTTCATAATAACTGTACACAATGTACACATTGTAACAACTCACAATATTTTATGTTCATAATAACTGTACACAATGTACACATTGTAACAACTCACAATATTTTATGTTCATAATAACTGTACACAATGTACACGTTGTAACAACTCACAATAGTTTATGTTCATAATAACTGTACACAATGTACACATCATGACATGTCTTAATAGTTTATATTCATAATAACTTTACACAATGTACACGTTGTAACAACTCACAATAGTTTATGTTCATAATAACTGTACACAATGTACACACTATGACAACTCACAATAGTTTATGTTCATAATAACTAGAAACAATGTGCACGTTGTAACAACTCACAATAGTTTATGTTCATAATAACTGTACACAATGTACACATTATAACAACTCTTAATACTTTATGTTCATAATAACTGTACACAATGTACACATTGTAACAACTCTTAATACTTTATGTTCATAACAACTGTACACAATGTAAACATTGTGACAACTCACAATAGTTTATGTTCATAATAACTGACACAATGTACACATTGTAACAACTCTTAATACTTTATGTTCATAACAACTGTACACAATGTAAACATTGTGACAACTCACAATAGTTTATGTTCATAATAACTAGAAACAATGTGCACGTTGTAACAACTCACAATAGTTTATGTTCATAATAACTGTACACAATGTACACATTATAACAACTCTTAATACTTTATGTTCATAATAACTGTACACAATGTACACATTGTAACAACTCTTAATACTTTATGTTCATAACAACTGTACACAATGTAAACATTGTGACAACTCACAATAGTTTATGTTCATAATAACTAGAAACAATGTGCACGTTGTAACAACTCACAATAGTTTATGTTCATAATAACTGTACACAATGTACACATTGTAACAACTCTTAATACTTTATGTTCATAACAACTGTACACAATGTAAACATTGTGACAACTCACAATAGTTTATGTTCATAATAACTAGAAACAATGTGCACGTTGTAACAACTCACAATAGTTTATGTTCATAATAACTGTACACAATGTAAACATTGTGACAACTCACAATAGTTTATGTTCATAATAACTGTACACAATGTACACACTATGACAACTCACAATAATTTATGTTCATAATAACTACAAACAATGTACACGTTGTAACTACTCACAATAGTTTATGTTCATAATAACTGTACACAATGTACACACTATGACAACTCACAATAATTTATGTTCATAATAACTACAAACAATGTACACGTTGTAACAACTCACAATAGTTTATGTTCATAATAACTGTACACAATGTACACATTGTAACAACTCACAATAGTTTATGTTCATAATAACTAGAAACAATGTAAACATTGTGACAACTCACAATAGTTTATGTTCATAATAACTGTACACAATGTAAACATTGTAACAACTCTTAATACTTTATGTTCATAATAACTGTACACAATGTAAACATTGTAACAACTCTTAATACTTTATGTTCATAATAACTGTACACAATGTAAACATTGTGACAACTCATAATAGTTTTTATTATAAAAAACAACATATGGCTTTACGTCATCTATGTTTGTTTGGCATGTTAACAGTTCATTGGTCGTAGAGTAACGTCCTCGTTCTCAATAACAATGCTAAATGGAATCGATGTTAACTGGGTACACATTAGTCTGATCAGCATGGCCCATGTCAAAGGCGGCTGTAATAAGTCAATAATATGGAGAATCGGTGGATACAGTATATTAAAGAAGCAAATTCTTGGCACCGGGTTGATAATTCTAATAATCCTTGAATAGTGATGTCGCATTAATATACATTTATAATGTTTTTTGCTCAGAACATGTAATCATAGTCGACAAGACTTACCTTAGAAATGCAATATGAATGTTTAATCAACATGCAATTATCGTTACTGTTTACACTTGTAAAACTAATCGCCATACCTAAGCAAAACATTACAGCATCGTTGTGTCCCGACGACCGATAAATAGTGTCCCATATTTCTACAAGGATTCCAGAATACTGCGTCGTTTTAGTGAGGTTCATGTCGCCCATCCTTGTTCGTACACAGTGTCAAAAGTCACTCGATTTATGTTGTCGGTCGGCATATTTATCGCATACAGTCTAATCTTAGTTGATAAGATGTACATGATCAAAGGGCAGTAAATGTAGCGGTAACCATGGCAACTGTAGGTGCCACATGTAGTCAGTGTTGTCAGGTTTGCAGCACGACAATCAGCAGTGTTGTCTGTCTAATTGGATGAAACCCCATCAATTTGACCGGATAGCGTCATTATCATTAATTTTGACCCGGCATGACCAATATGTTGTCTAAAAAAATCATAGACTTACAGTTAAGAAAGAATATCATTTTGCAAGACGGCACGTCACGCATTTATTTATCTAACCACAACAGGCGCATATGACTACTAAAAAGGCCAATCAATGAACCCAAGCTTACCGTTTATTATTATTAAAGAAGCAACATATTTTTTTTTATTTGTCTAAATTTAAATACTAAATTAATAGATAAGGGAACAAGTGTTCTATAATGATTAATGAGTTTAATTGCCAATGGGACGGACATATTGCCGATGTTTAAGCTTGTATTTACATGTTATTAGATTTTATTTTATAAATCAGCTTTTTTTTGCTGATTGTGTCAAAGTCGGGACGGTAATTAGGTTTTTCACTATATTTATGTAATATTTTTTGTAATAAGGAATATTCACAAAGTAAAACAAAATACGTCAAAACATGCATTGTATCATCTGAAAATGGTCGAAACGAGATGAACTTGTATATGGAGTCGTACTTCAATTGCAGGTCCACATGGTTATTGCAAATTTATTAATAACGAAAACACACCCTAATTTAATATAATGTAATTTAATTTGTATATTGATTATTCATGAGTACAATGCATGATGTTAGGATCCAGAAGGTTTAATTAATTTTATTCTTGCATCTATACCATTTACCCAGTCTTATACACTAAAGACATCATAGCAGTATTGAATCCGTTTAATAGATATAATATAAACAGTGTGGTTAGTGTGAATAAAACTGCCTATTTTATATAATGACATAATTTTCACCAGAGAATTGATAGATTACGGTAAAGGAACTCTGATTTAATATGACTGGCTTCATTTACACCAGAATGCGACAAACAGTAAAACGGGATAGGCTGTTCCGTAGGCGAAACGAATGTTAGGATTTCGCGGTCACATGACTTTCGCGTTCACGCAATTTATATTTTTCATCGGAATCGCAACAGACTGCAAGCAAGTCTAAGTCTAGAGTTATATGAGTACCGCGAATAAAATGATAATATCTCAAATATTAAAACTTTGGAAATAATATTGCAAGTCAATACTTTTAACAACAATCTCACGAATTTCAATATAGAACAATGTATAGAACATAAGGATATATTGAACACGTGACATTTGCACAAAATACATACGAAGTGACATTGGATGCATAATTTGAAAATCAACAGTAACAGACATGTTAGTGTGAATTCAAACACAACCCTTAAATGTAGTTACCATTATGCAATGTTTTAAATCTATACGTGTATATTTATAAATGAGTTCACTTGGATAAATTTTGATTCATAATTTGAAAAGGTTTATTTGCACGCATTACAGTAACAGAGTGGTTAATGGACATAACCCTTTTGTAAGCCCAGATGTAATGAAATGAAGTACACTTTTGAGCCAAGTTATTTTATATATTTATTATGTACATTTTCTTGCTATTTATTCTTATTTTTCTGTAATATTGTTGATTTCAATAAGAGCTAGTTCTCGAAATAAAGTATAATAATATATAGTTGTCATTGTAACATTTTCGAAGTTGATTAACAAAACTCCATAGTTTTTTTCATAACTAGCATTACACTCTCATGGATATATTTTCTTTTACATGTATAATAACTCTTTTGTTTTCTTCATAAACAACACTGCTCGATAATGTGAGTGCTTCAAGCAAATTGGCGTCAAACTGGGATCTAAACGTCCAGATTGTGCATAAATATATTCTTTCCTAATATTGAAATAGGAATAAAATTCAATTGCTGATATAATCATTTGTCCTTGTCATTTATCTGGTATTGATTCTGATAGTGGAGTGAGGCTAAAGAACGTTTTGTGTCGTTGGTATGATTTCGTTTGGCGGAATAACTCATCAGTTCCATGGATCCAATCAAAGATATTTAGCACGGCCCCATAACATGTATTGAATCTGAGATTAAAAAAAGTATGTTTATGTTAGTGTACAATAATTACTAGTAATTCACATTATGAACAACGTGAAAATCAGCTGCGGTGTGATTTTGTTTCTACTTTATCAAATTTTATATGTATTCAAGAGAGCAGCATGCATTAAATTTATCAAATTCCTATTAGAAATGTGAATTTTATGTGTCTGCATCTTTTTAATAATATGTCTTAGTCGCACCAATGCGGTATTATCAATACTCGCATACTATGTGTTGTCTTTAGCAAAAAAATGGTATCGAATTCATCATGACTGCCGACCCAAAAAACAAAACACTATAAAAGGATTGTGAGTACTTACTTCAGGTGGTGGAAGTCGTGAAATTCGGGAGACGGAAATAATGGCAAATGATAACCACAGTGGTGAATATTAGTTAGAAGTAAAGCGATGTACAACCAGATCAGAGTTGTCAACAAATGGGACTTCATCAGCAGGGGACCAATAATGAAGGCCAGCACTCCGGAAACGAAATATTCCAATGGATGCAGGTAAACGGAAGTAATAGAAATGGGAGATGTCCATTCATGATGCACTTTGTGGATTTTTTTGTAAAACAATGGGTGATGCCATAATCTAGAAAAAAAATATCAAAAAGATCATTTTTTGGTATTTAACTAAGTATGCTGTATAAATATGATCAAGTTACAATTTACAAAAAATAAGTTTTTTTAAAATAAAATATGAATTATGCAAAACACAATCCCGTTCAATATTATTGCAATTGGCATGTCTCTTTAGTTTATCTCACAATGCTGCTTGCAGCTAAATGTTACGTAATTGGTATGAATTAACATAGATTGAACAGGTATAATCCAAACCAAATGATCTACATTCACTGACCTGTGAGAATAATAAAAAACAAATTCTTGGATCAATTGTGCCACGGCAACATCGCGGCCAATTTCCCATAGCGTTGGGACATCATAACCACAACTACAACCACGCCATCTAGCGGCGTAGAACCAGGCGTAAAATGAGGGCAAAGTCACAACAATCTGGTTAATAGTTACAAGCGGAAGTGCTCGATAAACGTCTTTCAGATCAACCTGTACAGATAAAGAAATTATAGAAAATATGAAGAAACAGTAAAAGTATGTAAAATCACGGAAAATATAAATTAAAACACAGGTAGTGATATTGTGGACTTACCGGTACGTTTTTGTTACGTTGTATTTTATACTTTAAAACGAAAGATGGTTTCCCGGTGATATCGACAAACAGAAAGAAACCATTGAGTCCCCAGAAACAACCAAACGACACGATAACAATGGCTGCAATACAAATACATGACAAAGACACGCCTGGTGAGAACACTAG